TAAGTAAATTCAATACTTCATTTCTTAGAGTGTGTGTAAAAGTACTTTGACGTTTGCTTTCCCAATTATCTATTGMGGTRTGTTTACTTTTACTTAGTTATTTCTTTTAGTTTCTGATCAAATTCCCAGGTTACACTATTTTTCTAAAAGCCCATCTGGGGTTGTGAATTACAAATTTGCCTATAAATGTTAATACAATGGATGGGATTGGGACTTGCCCCAATATAAATAAACAATAAATTACATGAAAAAGTAAAAAAATAATCCTTTAAAAAGATTCAGAAAACTTTGGTATGATAGTGCATTGTTGTTTTTACTAAATCACCAGCCTATTTGATGATACGTTTTTCAAACGGGTGCTTTTTACTGAATTGCAGATTCCTGACTGCAGAAAACCATCAAAGAAAAGAAAAACAAAACAATAAAAGGCTGCTTTCTACAACCTGCTAAGGATCATAAACACAAGACAAATTCTACAACTTTAGCATGTATAAATGAAAGGTTTGACTGTGGCTCACAAACCCCTGACCAACAAAAAAAAGTTGTGGATGTTTCAGAACAAAAGCAAAAAGAACAATAATTYGGCACATCAACCAAACATAATCCATTGTCTTCATTCTATCTAGATTATTGTTTGGTAATTAATCAATCATTCATCCATTTAAATACTATTATTAAAACTTCTTTTGAATGTCACTTTGCATGGAACTACAAGTCATTCAAAACTTTCAAAACTATTTATAGTTTTTTATCAGATCTCCACTGTTACAGCAATGTGCAGTACTGCAATAACAATTTAAAAATAACTCTCAACAATAACTATTACCAAAGGGGTCATTTTGGCAGATTCAAAGAGTCTGAGTTTTTTTTATGAGTTTGTTCTTTTTCTCTCATGTTAACATTCACATATTTGTTAAATTTAATCAATTTTTTTCACTGAAATAAAAAAAGCATTGATATATACAACAATTTGAAGTCTGGCTCTATTATCTTCCTTCTCAGGAGGCATTGTTGCTCTGTGCAGAGCAGGGAGACACAGTTTCATCATCCCGGATATCTTAATCTGTGTGTGTTCAGAAGTGTGACTCCTGATGAAGTGGTCACCAGAGCTGGAGAGGTGAGTTCCAAAGAATGCAGGTGGCCCGTGACGTTCACCGGCATTTAAATCTGGAGGAGATGGCATGCCTGGACTCAGCAGCTCTGAATCCTTTTGGCTTTAACCCCACCCCCCTCCTGTACAGGAGCRTACTTGCAGCAGAGGTGGTTTAAAAGCTGTGCCCCAGTTAAAGCTGCCATCATCATTACACTAAGAGGTTGAATTGTGGCGGCGTAATGTGTGTGCCGAGTTACTCTGTCTGTTTGAAGGACCCTCAGCAGGAGTGTGTCTGCTGTTGACACTCCCCATTTAATATTGTTTGAATTTTTCATCAAGATCCCGAGCCTTGTTACAAGAGGCCTTTTGTTTTCGGACTTGTTTGTACATACTTTATGTTTGTACGGGAGCCTATGTGTGTTTGCAGAGACCTTTAGGACATTTATTTAGTTAGAAATAGTGCAAATTTAGAGTGCAAATTTTAAATACTTGATTTTGCTRCAGTATTTGAAGGTGTTGTCCAACCTGGAGGTCCGAGCACTTCCAGCTGCAGACGGCCTTTACTCCTCTACCACTCCTCCAGCTTCTTTTGTCCGGGACACCCTGACACAGGCTTGAATGCAGGTCACGGCAGGTTACTGACAGAGCTCGGTGAAAGGCCCGYGTTTTTGTGTGCGTGTCTGAAAGAAGTGCACGGTTAAAAATAGCTCGCCCTGCCGTCAATGCTTCGCCATTAAAAACAGCTGGGCCGGGCTCCTGGCCGCATTGAGCCACGTGAAAGTTGATTCTTTCTTTCTTTCTTTTTTTTTTCTTTTTTTTGCCTCCGTCGTGTCACAACTCCCCCTTTACGGACGCTCTTTGTTGGCTGCTTTGTGCCAGCACCATCACAGAGGCAAAGTCAGCCTCATAAAAAGAGTTCATTTTGGATTCACTGGCCTGGGATGAACACTGGGAACTTTCTTTATTGTCCCTCCGTCCATAAATTGGTGCTCACTCACTGGGCCCTGTCAGTCGGCCTGAAAAGATTCTTTTACGGAGCATTTCCTACTTCTTCCCTTGTGAATTCACCCACGTAGGTGATCAGCCTGATCACGAAGGGGCTGATTTGGAAGCTGCTGGTGTTATTTGGTTACATCGCGCTCTAGATGCTGCACTAATTACATTTATTTAAATGTGAGGAGAGAAAACCGGTCATTGGATTTTCGTCCTTTCTTTTTTTTTTTTCCTGGTGACAATGAAGATCCAGATTAATGAGCTTCCAACTCAGCAGGTTGTCAGATGATTCTGTGAGAGTGTTTTCATTTTGCTGTCAGTTATGACACATCAGAGCTTTCACTGGCTTTGGGATGAGTTCTCTGCAGGTTAAAATAAACACACGAGATCCCACCCATGGAGCAGCTGTCAGTGGCTTCGATGCATCATTTCTACCTGGGCAAACAGGCATTTTAAGGGGTTAATGGGAGAGGAGGAAGAGGAGGAGCTGTAGGGCACAGCCTCCTCCTGTTCGATTTCAGGAAAAACCTCCTTTTTACCATGGCTTGTCTTTTTGTTCCACCCCTCTGACTTTTATTCCTTCCTTCAGCCCGGCGTTCACCCTGTCCTGGTTTTTCTGGTGCCAAGAGAGCTCACACAAGCAAGCAGTGACACGCAGCCCTGCACTGACACACACTCATAAAGACAGACACGGAAAGTAAAAGACACAACCACAAAGTTGTTAAAGAGCTTCYTTATCTCATCAGGATCATTCACAGTCTGTCCTCTTTGTCTGACCATTCACCGATTCTTCAAAATAAAGAAAACGATTTATTCTTTAGAGGAGGATTTGGATCAAAGTGATTTTTCAGAAACCGCGTTCGTATTTCTTTACAGAAATAAAATTCAGTTCATGTTTAAGAAGCAACAGCCAGAAACAACGAAGCCAACGAGGAGATATTTGTTCATGAAGTTGGATTTTTCTACCAGTCTGCACAAGTGTTTGCAGAAAATATCATATTTTAGAATCCAGATTTTTCCAATTTATCATGCAAATACCTCATATGTTCCATGTTGCCTAAATTTAACTGACCTTGCTTAATACTTGACACAAACTGAATTTAATTTTAAAAAGAAATAATTAGAAGGATTGCAGTAAAAAACTAAAAATATGCTTTTTTCACTATTTTTTTTATAAAGAAGAGTTGACCTATTGAGATCAAATTGTTCAAGGTGTCATGTATTGCTTTGGGGTCTTTTCATATTTTCTCTAACTTTTTGTGCATCTTTTGTTTGTGCAAATTTGCCAAACCCCCACCAAAGGCAGTTTTTCCCACCTGAAGAAGAAACGCTCCTGTTGAACAGCTTGAAACGCTTTGTTGATGATGAAAGCTCGTTTCTCTCCTCACTCGTCTAATTATCATGTAACTCTTCTTTTTAAATACTCGCCTCGGGGCCAGTTTGGCACATCTCAGACAAAAAAAAAGAGCAGCTGCTAAACAATCAAACCGTTTTGAGTGACTTTCTGACCAATCAGGGCAGAACATTTTTATTAGGAGGTTTAAACACAGGAAATAAAAGATTTCCCTATTACTTGACTTTTTTATTATTTATTTTGTCTCCTGTTAAAATTTTATGACCTTGTTTTTACTTGTATAAAAGATCGGATGTTGTGAGATGAGAAATGGAACAAAACCTGCCTGCAGCAGAAACATTCATGCTGCCAGAGGTGAGCAAACTGATCCAAATTATTTGTGGCATCTTCAAAAAAAAAAGACTAAAAAAGAATACAAATAATAAATGTGCTTTGTTTGTARTTTTAGTGCGTATCAGCTGAAACGGTGAATAAAACAGAAATTTAATACTACAATAATTTGTGTTAAAGGTCGTCTTTTTAATATTAATGCTAAATTGTTCTAAATTGAACATTTTAAGGTTGACTTTGTCTTCCTAAAAAAACATCTTTTTGATTCAATCTAAAGTATGAAAATATATTATTTCAGCCTACGCAATGAAGCGTTAAATTAGTATAATATGAGTTTGCTACATAAACTAAAACATGKATGAAGTTTATGGAAGAAAAGTTTAAAATAAATAAAACTCTTTTCACAAATAAATGCAAATGATTTCACCTCCAGGACAGTGGTGTTTCTAATGATTATTAATTTAGTATTTTCTTGTAAAAAAATAAAGAATCTTGAAAATAATTAAGAAAAACAAATTATTAAATAC